CATAATCTAAAGTCCGATAATGTACATAATCACCCACATTAAGCATGGGGTTAGTCACCCATAGGGCACTGGGTTGAGAGACCAGAACCATGTATTTTTGCAAACTGGGGATCGTTTGCAGTGGTATGGGTTAAAGGGGAGTCGTACAGAGTGTGATGCACGGTAACAATTTTTTTCTTTCAAATACAATCTTCTAACAATTCCCTTACCTATTTTTTCACCACTTACCGAAGTGTCAGCAATATTACCTCTCTTTTTACTCACGTCTTCTAACCCATTTCCACTTCCCAAAAAATGTCTTGGCGGGAGGGAGGGTCGAAGGATACAATTTCTGGAACCGAAAAATTAAGTTTTTCTTGATCCTTCATAGATTTTCTAGTCAGTGCCTTCCTCGAAATAAGCCCTCGCGTTCTCTACGATCATCTCGCCCCTTCAGGTCGAATCTCCGAGTGATGCACCATGCACGATTAACCATCGCCCTACTTTGTTTGGAAACTACATTGAACGAAGAACTAAGCCAGAAAAGGGTGCTGCTAGGTGGAACATTTCATAAGAGGAGGCAATTCTACACCCTGTCTTCGATTCTGTGCCACGTAATTGACTTCAGCCATGGTATACACCGTGAATCCAACTTGCTTGGGGAATTCTAATTCTTGTCGGGTTTCGAGGTGATTTCGTTATCTAAACTCAAATCGTCGAAGTGTTGGTCAGATGGTCTCGATAGACTGCTATTCCACAGTGGGTTTCAGACTACTGAGAAGCCAGTAGTGTGTCTTTTCCTTTCTTGTCAAGCCCCGAATGCTAATTTCTTCACAGATGAGTGACGGGTGGCTCACGCATGTCACTTCTGAGTTGATCGTTTGACAAGTGTTCGTTGAAGTGTTCCTGAATTTGTTGTGACATACGGATAGTGTCTTCCAAAGGAGTTGTTTTGTCGAGACTCGCTTGACGAATGCGATTTCTCCTACGTAATTTTTTTGAAGACTAACAGATTTTGATAACATGGTGGTATTCTATTATTTCATGGGCAGCAGAAATTTAGGAAGACTCATTGTCAAACTCCTGTTCTGCAGGTGCAAAAAAGCACCCGTAACACAGAGGTCCGCTTCTTTCTCATTCTATTACAGGAGTTCCATTTTTCAAACTAGTGGTTTCAGTCAGAAATGTTGTTAGACAAGTATTTCATCGACCTTTATGTGTCTGTTTTGTATTTTTCTTTCATATATGAATAAGCTAGCTGATTTTTCGCAAGTGATACCGTTTGAGGTATAGGTCTACATGACAGCTCCCTTTATTGTGTTTCATTCTGACCATTTGGTGGTAGATATGTCAAAATTCAGTATAGTGTAAAGTGTAGCGTCTGGTCTTCCGTTCTTAGCATCAAAATATTAGTCGCGTTTTGGCTTGCACTAGCTGAGCCAGAGATATCGGGAGGAGTAACGCTTTTTCATTGCATCTGTTGTTGACTGTTTTTTTGAACAATCTGATTAGTTAAGAGTTTATACTGACTATCTTTTTAACTTAATGGGCGCTATTTACAGAAGAATCTTGTGTGTGTCACGATTTTGTCGCTGGGCAATAGTCTACCTTTACTTAGAGCGTACAGGTCGCCGTATTTCTGCGAGCGGGATTCTTTTAGGGGATTCTGAATTTACAGACAGAGAGGAATAGCTATTTCTTCGGCTCGTTTTCTGGCCTCTCATTTGCGGGGAAATAGTTAGAGCTACTCAATGTTACTTATGGTCATAAATTTGTAATCCTTGCTGTGGCACCGATTTTAGTGCTAAAGACTTGAGTTGGGGGGGGCGAGCCCGCGGCAGTGGCGGCGCTTGCCGTCCTTCGGTTAAGTATTAGGCCAACTTTGACCTTCGACAGCCTTAGACGATGTCATAGTTTGCGTAATGAGCGCATTCGAAATCGAACTTTGCTAGCAGCGATCGAACTGTGGCGCAGCGAGATCGAATAGGTGCCAGCGACTCAAGTGGCGGGTAAGACCAACGTGTTAAAGGAAGGCCTGCTGTCAAACAGTGTTGCATTTGCAAAGTTACCGCACTTTACTGGGTACAGCGTCCATGTCACGGGATCACTGTTGAAGTGGTGGGCTCTTTGAAACGTTGGTCCCGCCATATTGAGTCGTGGGGAATCGTTCGTCGCCTGGCGCAAGCTCGGTCCAGCGAGTTCGCTAGGATTGGCTTCGATTTGCAACTATGGACATTGGCGTTAGTTAGCAGGGGAGCGAACAGATGCGCCGCGTGCCGCGGTGGGTCTCCTACTTGGTTAGCATCGCGGATACTTGGTTCTGATGTGCCAGCTTCAGCAATACTTTATGATTTGGCGTTTCTGTGAATTTATCGAACATGTCCAGGCCTACTTTTCTGACTGACGTCTTTTAACGATATCTTTCCAGGAATGGTGGGTACGATGGATCCGAGCCCGGGTTCATTGAATGATTTGCTCCAAGAGCTTATGAAAATTTCTGAACAAACTCTAGAGGATAACGACAACGTGAAGTGAGTTTGGAAGTGCTTTTTCCGTACACTCTCACCGAGCTTTCCACTGTTGCTATTACGGTACATATTCGAGATAATTTGTACAACGCGAAACTCGCAAATGTTCTCATGCTTTATAAATTTTTATCAAAAATTTCGCTCTCAGTGGCTTTGAAAAATAGGTCTTTCAAATTTTGTGTAACAGTAGTTATCCATTAATGACAAGTGAACTATACAATTTTCATTTGAGTTCCAGTCTGTTTCTTAGGAGGTGTTTTTTCAACACTCATGGCATTCTATTTTCAGAAAGCATGCTCTTCAGTGTCATCCGATGCGACAAGCTCTGTTTGATGTGCTTTGTGAAGTTAAAGAGAAAACAGGTGAGTAAAAGTATGCTTCTTACTCTTCTATCAGTAGCGTTGGAAACGTATTTTTGTTAGCATGCCTTTATTCTATTCACTGTCATTAACAGTATCTTTGTAAACATAGATAGTATCTCAATTACTTCAGCTCTGCAAATACGAGCAGGTACTGACGATCAACCAGAGGATCCGCAATTGATGCGGTTGGATAATATGCTGGTTAGTTTCTGTCTTTTCATGTGATTCTGCCGTTCAAGAAGAGTACATAAATATGTAAACAAAGAAATATGAACCAAAAGGATTACGGCTTATTCTAGGTTGCCGAGGGCGTAGCAGGACCGGACAAGGGTGCACCACTTTCGGGTGATGCTTCTGGTGGAGACCAGGCTGATTATCGCCAAAAGCTCGGTCAAATACGTCTTGTCTATAACCAAGAGCTCCAAAAATATGAAGAGGTAATGGTCGTTCTGATTTTATCACAGTCTGAAGTCATTTGTGCTACACTTTCGGAACCTTGAAATATTTCCAAATATTTAGGCGTGCTCAGAATTCACACAGCATGTGATGTCTCTGTTGAAAGATCAATCTCGAGTCCGACCAATCAGTCAAAAGGTGGGTGCATTATTAACTTTTTTCTTAGGCTGTTGGGTAAAATTTGTGTTCTATCTTTTTAAGCCTTTGTTTACCTCTTAATAATTTAGGAGATTGAACGGATGGTATCGATCATCCAGAAGAAGTTCAGCGGTATCCAGGTTCAGCTCAAGCAGTCAACGTGCGAAGCCGTAATGATCTTAAGAAGTCGTTTCTTAGATGCAAGGTAGGACATTTTATTTATTTATTTATTTATTTTTGTTTTATTTGTTTATTTACCTATTTATTTATTCATTATATTCGAGAATCTTAGTCCACTACTTCTATTTCTGCAACACATTGGCGGCCTTAGTTACAAACTGCGTTTTTTTATTGTTCTACACAGAAATTGTCATTCAACTGATGTATACACTTTAGGCGTAAACGTCGTAACTTCTCCAAGCAAGCTACTGAAGTTCTTAACGAATATTTTTATTCACACCTGAGCAATCCGTACCCGTCGGAGGAGGCCAAAGAGGAACTCGCTCGGCAGTGTAACATTACAGTGTCTCAGGTCGGTGGTGTTCCTGATGTGCATTTTTTCATTCCTTTATTATTTCTGAGTGTAACAATCGATGCAGGTTCAAGATTCGCCAGATTTATGAATGGCTCTCAGCGAGGTGCTAGATTTATTGCGAAAACAAGGGTGTGATCTTTCCAGAATATTTTTGATGAGATTTTGACTTTGCAGGTGTCGAATTGGTTTGGTAATAAGCGGATTCGTACAAGGAAGAACATTGCCAAGGCGCAGGAAGAAGCGAATATGTACGCTGCAAAGAAAGCAGCAGCTCATGGACTTGGAGGTACTTGATAAGCTTCATTCCTTCGCGATGAGAATTTTTATGCGCTTTAGTTTTTTTTCGTAAGCTTTCACTACTGGAGCCAGAAAAGGTGTCGTTCCGTAATTAGTACATTTTTGAGTGATCAATTTGTTTCTAGGTCTCCCTGGAGCGAACTATGGTATGTTGGCAGGGTCGTCATCAATGCTCAATCCCTATCAAGGGATGTTGCCTGGTCAAGATCTTAGCCATATGGGAATGCCGCCCGGATTTGATCTCTCTGCTTATAACCCTCAATTAGTAAGTCTATTTTATTTCTGTTTATAAGTCCAATAAGCTCGAAGTTCAACATGTCCTTCTCTGATATTGCTCTGCGGTGCCCCTGATTTTGAACTCTTTCAGATGGCACAATATCAAGCAAATCTGGATAGTGACAAAGTAAGGCTGTCCTGATATCCTCGATACTCGTCTTGTCGTCGACGAAGTTCACTGAATCTCTTGCCAAGCTTTTCATCACTGCATTTGGCATAGTTATATTGCCTTGCCATTTTGCTATGTTCAGTTATCTTTTTCTAATTTTGATCTCTTAAAGTTCAAATTATTGACAACAGTCCTGACCACATTGTTAACCGGTTTCAATAGGGTTGACTACTAGTATGAGCAGCGTTGAAGCCACCAATTACCATAGGCATTTAAAGAATTCTCAGATTTTGCTCTCATTTTTTTGTATTTAGAATTTTCGCCACGCTCAGAACAGTATTCTTACCCTGCTTGTAAATATAGTCATATAAGTGTTCGACCAGCTTCAGTTTTTGTACAAGATTTCGATTATGATTCCCATCGAAATGAGATTAGATGAGAATTGCCCAACCAACTAGGCAATGCCTTCTAACGAGCGCCAGTCTCATTTACTGGTACTCTTCATTTGAGAAATGTCAAAACATCTGAATTTTTGTTGATTACTGTTTTTTCGTAGGTAATCTATGAAGTACACTACGCTTTGAGTGTATTGAGTGTACACACAGCAATACTTATTTCAGTAGATTATGACAGTCCACTCGTTTGTCGCATTTGCATTTTTAACGAGGTTAATATTTTACGAGATAATTTTGTAGTAGATTGATCTGACGATGAATCTTAACTGAATTCCTGATTGTATTTTGTTGTTTTTTTCCTTTTTCTTTCACGCGATAAAACCGTTGCATAATTTAGCAGATTGCGTAGCTAGACTGTTGGGTCATGCGACCAAGTAAGGTCCCAGTATTTTTGTAAGTAATGGGAAATTGTTCTTCTGATTACTTCGCAAACATTTTGACCGGTTAGCCGCTCCTTGGGGGTTGGTAATGGTCTCGGAAGGGTTTCGTACACGGTCAACCGTGCGTTCGCACTATTCGAACGAGAGGGTCGCATTTGTGGTTGGTTTTTTTGGAGGGGGGTCGCATTCAGGGGTTGAATGAGGCGATTTAGGTAGGTTTTTTTGAGGGTTTTGTGGATGATCCTCTCCCCTCCCCAACACACCCCCTGCCTCGACGCTCGTTAGTCAGCCTGATGCGAGGGTTTGTCGGGGTACGCAAAAGAAAGTGGTCGTATTGGCGGATTCCTCCTAGGGTAAATTCAGTGGTTGTTGGAGGTCACATCGAGAAACGGCCCTAACTAGGTGGGGGTGCGCGAATTTTGTGACCAAAGTTCGAACGTCACCCGGTTTGACCCTGGTTGGTACGTCGGGTAAAATTTCTGACTTCCGAATTTAGAAGGTTTTGACGGACGTTCAAATGAACACGAAGAGACGGTTGTATCCAGCGAGATTGTGAGCTTGTTTCAGCCTAAATCAATGGCAACGGCTCCCGTTTTACGGAATAGACCATATATGGAATGCTTTGTAGCAGCAAAACAGTCAAGCTTGCACGTTGAGGAAACTTCAACGTCGTTGTGCGACCACATGCCCAAATTCAGAGGTTATCAGTCTAACCCCCTCCCCCTGTATTAGCTATTATGTCTTTTTACATATTTTATGCCCATCATCGATGTATGGGCCATCATCGACATGGAAAGTGGTGGTGGGCAGTGGGATGTCCGCACGCTTTGCTCGCTGAGAGGATGGGAATCGAGGCAACATGAAATTTCACGCATTAAATTGAAGTAATTTCCAGAATTTTGCAAAATTCTAGGAGTGGTTGTAGTTGCAGAGATATCCACTTTCAGGAATCTGTCCAGTTTTTTTTGAACTGTGAAATCTTCCTTTTTTAAATTGAAAAGCTAAACCTTGCAGAAGTCACGCTACGTCTCAATTCAAAAGGATATATTTTCCCTCAGGGGCGTTCTCATGGGACGGGATACAAAAAATTGAAAAAAAATCAAACTGTTTTCTTTCTGAAAAGCTTTTAAACTTTCGCAAATTTTCAGTTCTTCAAAAAAGGTTCAGTTTTTTCTGTTTTTGGTAACATGCGAGTTTTCAGCATTTGAACGTCCATAACTTCCTTCACCACCAAGTTTTTGCAGATCTAAGGCTAATTAGAAACTAGAAGATTAGAGCTTTCAAAAGCACCTAATCTTTTTCCAGCGATCACTTTCTCAAAAAATAGTCCCGTTGTTCCTTTTTGGGGGTTTGTGGTCCGATTTTTGAGAAGGCGCGAGTTTTCGTCATTCAAACGTTTATAAGCTTCAAATCATAATTAACTTTTTGTTTTCAAGGCTAATCAGAAGCTAGAAGACTGAGGATAACAAAAAAAAGAACTCTCTTGAATGACCATTCCTTCAAAAAATAGTCCATTGTTCCGTGTTTCCCTTCTGGCTTCTTTAGGTCATTCTCCTGAAACGCGAGTTTTCAACCTTCAAACGCCCATAAGTTCTTAAAAATCGGTATAATGAGAGCGGTAAAAACCATTGAAGTCTACAAGATCAGTGCTTAATAGCTTATGCTAGATTCTCCTGAAAAGTCTTAAAATGGAAAGCTTTCTTCTGCCAGGATTCTCTATTGAGAATCTAAAAATCAATCTGCCGAGTTATTGTCTGTGTTGGAGCAACGCAGTGGTTGTAAGTGCTGGTTACTACATATTTTCCTGCGACCTAGTCGCAAACAAAACAGTCCAAATGATCTTTTCCTGCTTCCGATGACGGAAAGCTAATTCCACAACTTCCTGGAATTACACACCCTTCGCTAGCACTACTCTAATAGTGGGAAAATGTTCGGTGAGTTCTTTGGGAGGTCGTCATATTGCACGATCACATTCGCATTAGAGCGCATAGGCCG